ATATATATATATATATATATATATATATATATACTATTTATTATTGAAATTAACCTCTTAAATATATTTTAGTATTTGAAATGATTAGTCTTTAATTTTTCTGTAAGAAGATACCGTGATTTAAAAAATAAAAAAAAAAAAAAACTTTCAGTACTCTATAGACTATATGTTACTTTGTTTGAATGATGTTGTTTATTGTGGGTGGGATTAATGCACAGGTGGAAGAAGATTTCATTGGAAAAGTTAAACAAGGATGGAAGGACACCAACAAGCATTTGTAATATTAGTCGGCCAACATGAACACCAATTAAGAATTAAATGTAGGTTTTGATGTCGTCCATGTGTAACGAAGATTTTTTATTATTTTTAGTTGCCTTTGATCCTTCTGAAAAGTAGGATTAACATATTAAATAAATAAATCGTTGTGCCACTAAGCTAGTATGCATTGATAATCTTTTGATTTATCCTCGCGATTATTAACTCGTTAATGGTTCAACCTTGAACTTCCCTAACAATAAAATTTTAATAATTTTTTGAGTTGTTGTACTTTTTCTAAAATAAGATAGAATAATGATAAAAATAAGAAAATAAAATAAATACACCTTACTTTTAGAGTGCATGAGAGGAGCTTAAAAAAAGTGCATGTGAGGAAAGCAAAATGATAAAGTGCGTGTTTGGATTTGCGTTTGTAAAATTGATTTGAGATTAACGTGATTTTGTATAATTAATTTTAAGTAAACGTGATTTTAAAGTAACGTTATTTTTGTTTGAATACATTTATTAGAAAATTGATTTTCATATTAAATGATGTTTGGAAAATAGTTATCAAAATTGATTTTAAGTGTATAATTACCAAAATAGACCTTAGTTAATTATTGATTTTTTTGTAGTGTAATGTATTATTTTTTAGTTGTATATTGACATGTATATTATTAATTTTATAACATGTTAAAAATAACAATTAATATATTACCTTATTATATAAATGGATGTATATAAAAACAAGTAAAAATAAAGTGAATTAACAATATATAAAGTAGCAACACTAACATAGGAAAAAAGGAAAATACTTTTTAATGCAATAAAACATTAACCTACAACATCAATACTAATGTTTGTTCTTCAATTGTACAATTTCATCTCGTATTGAATCTCGAACTTGATCCATTTTGGATGAAGAAATAACATTTAGAACTTGATTTTTCTCTAAGTTAATTGTACCATGATAATTACAATAATAAAATGAAAAGCAAGAGTTTACAAATTGTTTTCAAAAAAATATTTACAATTCCAATTCCATATAAAAATCTATGTCCTAAAGAAAATTCTCTGCCCCGATGTCACAATATCAGAGCATACCCACAACTCAACCGTTGGCATTCTAGATGTCACTCGTAGCCGGATCTTCCTCACCTAAAATATCCACAAATCGCACGGTGAGAAAAGAAAATATCTATATATATAGCACATAAGAAAAAAAACATATTATCTCATTATAACTTAATATTCATAAATATTTCAACATATCGTATTTCAATCAATCATGCATCGTCATCACGTCATAATTCTCAATCACCCAAATCATCACAAATCTTGCACTTCACACTATGTCAAGGTCACGCTACCCATTTAACAATCTCAGGTCGTGCTCACCCCTGGTATAACACTGTGTCAAGTCACGTTATCCCTATCCCAGGGTCGTGCTCACCCCTGACATGTTAACCAAGGCCACGATACCCATTTAACAATCTCAGGTCGTGCTCACCCCTGATATAACACTGTGTCAAGGTCACGTTATCCCTATCCCAGGGTCGTGCTTACCCATGACATGTTAACCAAGGTCACGATACCTACGTAACAATCCAGAGCCGTGCCCACCCCTGATATAACACTGTGCCAAGGTCACGTTACCCCTAACCTAGGGCCGTGCTCACCCCTGGTCATAGGTGTGAAGAACCACAATCACATCTCATTCACATTCCACACAACATCTCATAGTTCAATTTCATACACGCATCAGATAAGTCCAACATAATGAGTTTCATACATCTCAAGCAATTCACATCTAAGTCATCAATTTCATCAAGTAATATAACAATAACAATCATAAGTTAATATGATAATCAATGGAATTATCAATTTAATACAATGTTAACATAAATAGTAAAACCCCCAATTATTCTAAAACCTAACTCACAGGCACTTTTCTACAGTTTCGTTCTTCCTCTCAGGTCATCATTCTTACAAATTAAATATGTATTTCTAATCCTCAACACATAAGAATCTAATGGGATCATTAATTTCTCAAACAGAAATATTCTAATTTTTCCAAAACTTAGCTTATAGGCACTTTTCTATAATTTCGTTCTCTCTCCCAGATCATCATTCTTACAAATTATTGGCATATTTATAATCTTCTCATCACATACAGAATCTAATGGGATCATCCATTCCTCAAACATAAATCATCCAACTTTTCACAACCTAACTTACAGACACTTTTCTATAATTTCGTTTTCTCTCCCAAAGCATCATTTTTACCAATTAATCATATATTCATGTTCCTAAATACATACATAATCAAATAAGACCAATAATTCTTCAAACAGAAATAATTATAAAATTAGGGTTCTTCCTCTATCCAATTTCCTCATGTAACTCTACATATAAATAATTCTCATTTTCCCTGTACCTGGATAAATAGGAACTAGGGCAGAACCTCCTCCTCTTTTTCCTTGAACAGGGACCAGAACTAAAACTAGGGCAGAACCTTCTCCTCTAGATTCCTCTTGGTCTTCAGAAAGAAGGAGAGGGAAAGAAGAGAGAACAGAAGAGAAGAAAGAATGAGAACCAGAGGTGTGTGAAAAATGAGAAGTGAAGCCCCCTATTTATAGGAATTCTGGCTCACCTACCACTACGGCCCATTCTAAAAGCGGAACGGCCCGTTCTGGCCCTTCAAACCTACGTAAATTTCTCAACTAGAACGGCCCGGTCTAAAACCAGAACGACCCGTTCTGCTTATACATTTTGGGCATTCTAACTATTCCGGAACGGCCCGTTTCAATTTTGAAACGGCCCGTTCCGGGCTGCGAATTGGGCCTTTGGCCCATGAAAAATGGGCTGTTACAATGTGTCACAATATTGCAAATCTATTCTTCCATACCCCAAAGGTTCTCTCAATTGTACACCTTAAACTTGAGTGGTAATAATTGAAAACATTATTATTTTCAAACTCATTCTGACGTCTAAAATCCGGTAGATGATAACGTTCGCATCTATAGGGACCAAGATATCCCACTAGTGTTGGATAACCAGCATCTACCAAATAACATTTACCTATTAAAAAAGTAAAAAAGAATGTTAATATAATTTAATTGAAATTGGAATTCAATTGTATTGATATAAATAAATAATACCTTGAGGAGGATGTGGAAAATTCAAGTTGGCAGTTGTGAGAGCATGATCGAAGATTCGAGCATCATGCGCAGTACCTTCCCATCCAGCTAGTACAAAAGTAGAACACATGTTCCAATCACAAACTGCCATTATATTTTGTGTTGGAGTACCCTTTCTCCCAATAAATATTGCTTGGTCACTAGGAGTAACCACACATGGAACATGAGTTCCATCAATTGCCCCTATTGCATTCTTAAAAAATGGCCAGTATCGTGTATCATTTTCTATTTTGGCTTGACTATCATGAAATAGAGGATCTTGTGGCCTAATATATTCTACACATAACTTAAGGCAAGCATTTAATACCTTATGGATATGTCTACTAATAGTCTCTCCAGAGTGTTGAAACCTCTCTTAAAGCATCCTATTTCCTACCACATGACCAACCATGTTTAAAAAAATTGCAACCATTTCTTTAACAGTATTCTTCACATTATCCCATCCAAGCCCAGTTTCTTTACCAAATAATTTATACCATAACCTCCACTCCCTTATTAAATTATTAAACCTATTTTTAAACTTTGTTTTTTCATAAACCTTTCCTGTTAACTCCTTAAATTTGGTTGTAATTCCAACCCATCATTTCTTAGTAAAACTAGTACCCAACTGTTCGCCGTTAGTCACTTGTTCCAAGCATGCTATGATAAAACATTCAGTTGCTTTAAGATCCCAACAAACTTTTTCTTTCTCAAAACCCATACTTCTACATTAAAAGGTTTAACAAAATATAACTTAGCAAATAGTAGCTAAAATTAATACTTAAAATAAACACACTGTAATTGGCAGTGGTATTCAAGCCAAATAACGCCAATTCCTCAACAATATGTATTAATATGCCCAAAGTAGTTATGGTGATCTTACCAACCCAATAATGTCAATAATGCCAAAGTAACAACCGAAGGAACAAATATGCTTGCTACCTGCAAAACAAGAGAATGGAACTTAAGTTCATATCTAATATTTCCTCAATCATCTATGGACACATCATTTATTGCAGCTAGGTACATGAGATTTCTCTACAGCCTTGATTGGTTCCTGAAGTAATGGCAAGAGGATTATGACCATTTAGGACCACAACAAAAGGAACAGGAAACGAACGAGATACTGATGTTTAGGGAAAATTCCAATAATTAGGTCGGCTTTCTATCTCTAGGTAAGTAAGGAGAAGTTGGATTTCTGGAAGAAACTTTTCCGTAATCCAAAAGAAAAAAGTTAATCTATTAAGACTTGAGAGTATCCTTTGTTACCTTACAACTGCATTGACAAAACGTGCATGATGCAGTATCCTCTGTTGTCCATTTAGATTGAAGATTTCCAGCACTTTCACTTATCATTATATTGAGTAGTTTATAATAAAAACTACTGTAATTGCGAGTAAACTTTCACATGAGAAACTAGGAAGTTTAAAATTACTTTAAAAAAATTAATATCAAGGACCGTTTAATCTTGCATCCATGTTGTTGGCCTACAAATGGAAAAGGTAACGAGAAAACTAAAATATAAATTCAATGCAGGGATTGTTGCAAGTAAATTTTCCAAGTTTCAATACCTTAAAGTTACTATATGACACTAAATCAGCCATATCATTCTTCTCACACATTGTTATTATTATATCATTCTTCCTGAAATGCTTAAACTTCATCATACATATGATGGGGGACATGCATGTAAAGAAATGAGAAACACAATTTTCAATTGATACTACTATTTAAACCAATTCTTACTTGGCACACTCGCTCAGCTTGCCAGTATTCTAGCTTTCAACAATCTTCAGAATCAAGGACTTGTTCTCATCCAGATACTGCATGTAAAGAGAAAAGAAAATGGTCATATGAAGATAAAATCTTCAGGAAGCTCATATGCCAGCAAAAATAGAGTTTTATACTAGCCACACCAACAGATCGATAAAGCATGAACGCACAATCCATCAAAATGCAACTTAAATAAAAGTTACAACTTGGAGAGGTTGTTGGTTAGCATTGAAGTACAAAATAAATGCGCAATAAAATTTCTGGTTCACAATAGGTGCAACATGTACACACGCAAGGAGGAAAAAATCCTAAATCAGTGAAAATAAAATTGATGAGAAGAATCAGAACATTTATGAATTAGGTGAGGAGAAAGGGAACATTGAAGTTTCATGAGGACAAATGAGGAAAATCAAATATCCACTTACCAAAATCAATTTCCTGAAAACGTAGAAGCAATCTTCATCAGCTTCAGCCAAAATTGATTTTCGTTCATGGAATCGTGTGAAGAAGAAAAATCCAAACATGCTTTCAGAGAGACGAATTGCGTTTTCGGAAGGAAATACGCGCGTTGCATTAGGGCAACGCGCATCCAAACACGCACAAAGAGGAAAAGAGAGAGAGAATGTTAGATGTTACTATGTCACAAATGATGCCGTTGTAAATTTTATGATATTAAGTTGAATTCTTATAAATAAAAAATGAAATGAAATCAAGATTCTTATAGAATCAATAAGATATATATTACATAATTTTTTTTAATGATAATACATAATAATAAAAAATAACAAGAGATACACCTCTCTTTAATTAAATGACATTTTAAAAAAATTTATAAAAGTATATTTTATTTTATGAAAATAATTTATAATTTTATATAAACTCTTTTTAAGTTGTATTTCAATAGATTTCGTATAAAAGTTTATCAAAATAAATTTCACTTTTAACTTATTTCAATAAACTTGTCAGTCAAATTTATAAATAAATTCTCATTTAATAAACCGATATTTAATAAATAATGTTTAATTAAATTATATCCAAGTACACCTTAAATAACAGCTAAAAACATTTTGGTTCAAAATTGTTTTTTATCCACAAATATAATTAAGTCGTCCTACACTTGAACTCAAGTTTATTAAATGAATTTTTACATTTATTTCACTTCCAATTTGCTATCAGGTAAAAATATTGTTTTATAAACGATTTTTAATAGACAAAATTACATATTATTCCCGATAAATAACACGGGTTCACATACTACTGATAAATTTTACAAGAGTTTCACCAAATAATAAGAACAATTATAAAAATGTACATAAACATTTCTCTTATAATTAAACATATACGATTTGAGTCAATTATGTTAAAACTATTTTAAGAAAATTAAATTACAAAACCAAATTAATTTATTTTTTTTACTTTTTAGGTAAATTTAGATCCTCTTGTATTTTATAATAACTTATAATTCCATCTTCTAAAAGAACACAAAATTTGACCCATATTTAGATGCCTAAGATCTATTAGTTTTAATTTTATACTTTTCTTTGTCATAAATTTTTTTGATGTTAATAAATAACACAGGAAGAACTGAAGTTTATTTATTTTATACGTGATTAAATTATTATTGATCTGAAAGAAAAAAAGAAGAAAAGTAATTGAACTAAAATCATAATGGATCAATTTACGATGTTATCTCTTTAAATAGTTACTCTATCATATTTTGAAGGGTTGAATATTTCAATTATATCCAACATTTTTACAAAATGCAGGTAAATAAAACTTCAAAAGAAAACTGATTTTTTTTATATAATATTTCTTTTGTATGATATATAACCAACAAGGCCGTCTTAGCTCAGCGGTAGAGCGCGTGGCTTTTAACCACGTGGTCGTGGGTTCGATCCCCACAGACGGCGAAGTTATAAATAATTATTAGTTAAAATGTTATTTGTTTAAAACTATTATTAATTTATAGTTTACTGTTTTCATCAAAGCCGTCTTAGCTCAGTGGTAGAGCGCGTGGCTTTTAACCACGTGGTCGTGGGTTCGATACCCACAGACGGCGATTTTACTAAACAATTTTATAACTGTTAATTTTCTTTTAAAAAATATTTAAATTTTGTTGGTTTACTAGACGAACAAGCGGGGATGGCTCAGTTGGGAGGGCGTCAGACTGAAGATCCGAAGGTCCCGTGTTCGATCCACGCTCACCGCAATAAAGCGAAGTTTTATTAATTAATTTTATATAATATTTAATGGCCTCTTTTATTTGGAATCAAAATATTCATTGCCAGTCTATTAAATTATAAATGTTTCTTTTAAAAAATAAAAGGTTAAACAATTTCCATTACAAACAAAAGATTTATTACTTTTCATGTCATGAACGTATTTAGTATATTTTATTAAGAATTTTAAATTAGTTTAAACATATATAATAATTTTATATTTGTAATATAATAAATGTTTATTAATATTATTATTATTTTTACTTATCGGTATATTTATATTAATCATAAGACAAAAAAATAAAAAATTAAACAAAAGTTTGAATTACATCACATTGAAATTCGTGATGAAAAATTGAAAATCATAATCACTTAAAAAGATACATTATTATCAATATTTTTTATTACATTAAAAGTAAAGATTAAATATATTTTTGTATTTTCTTTAGATATTTCATATTTTATTTCCTTGAAAAGTGTCAGACCTTTGATATTTTTCTCATATCTCAACTTTTTCTCTATTAATGTAACAACTAATATTTACATATAAAAATCTTAATTAATAATTTCTTTTAAATATATCTATTTTTCAAAAAGAGTTAAAAAAATATTATTCTTATTAACTTTATTTGAAGAATTTCAAATTCCTTGAGGTAAAATACTTTATTTGGATGAGGAATTTACAAAGAATTTGAAATCCAAGCATATGTGAAATTCCTTCAAATAGTAGAATTTCAAATTCTTCCAAAAATGGGAGAATTTGAAATTCCTCATATTTGTTTTCTTATTTCATCTATATATTTTATCTTATCTCTTCTTTCCATTCTTTTAATTATTAGATATTCAAAAATATTTTTAAAGTTATTAAATATTAACTAATATTAATTTTTAAATATTTAAAAATGGATTAATATTTATTTTATAAAATTTAATTTTAAAATCTCAACATATATATATTTTTAAAATCAATTTTATTATGGTAGAATCAAATTATCATATTCAACCTAATAATTTAAAATTTAAGAAATTTGAATTGATTCATCCAAACAAAATATTTTAAGAATGATAGAAATTGAAATCAAAGTAATTCAAATATCAAGAATTTAAAATTCCTTGAATTTGTAAAATTTCTCATCCAAACACACCATAATTAAGAAATTTACATAGTTGTCTGTATTTTAAATATTTTAAGTATTTTTATTTTTATTACATAAAATTAAGCATTAAATAATTTTCGGATTTTCATTAAATGTTTCAGATTTTATTTCCTTGAAAGTTGTCAGACTTTTGATATTTTCCTTATATCTCAATTTTTTTATTAAAGTATTAATTAATATTTAAATATTAAAATCTTACTTAATAATTTACTTTGAGTATATCTATTTTACAAAACAAAAATTAATAACGTTTTCCTTGTATGACTTTACATCATATTGAAAATCGTAACACTAAAATATTTACACAATTATATATATTTTAAATTTTTTATTACATAGCAAGTAAATATTAAATATTTATTGTATTTTCATTAAAAAAAATGTTACATATTTTATTTCGTTGAAAAGTGTCGGACCTTTGACATTTTTCTTATATTTCAATTTTTTTCTAATAATGTAACAAATAATATTTACATATAAAAATCTTACTTAATAATATCAATACATTTCATAAAGAAGTACTTTGGATTTTGAAAACATTAATTAAAAATATCAATTAATTTCATTCAACAATTTTGATATACACATTTCATTAAAAAATAATTTTACTAACAAGTACTTTGAATTTTGAGCTCGTTGAATAAAAATAGCAATACACTTCTTTCAATATTTTTAATTATTTTAAATATTTTTTCTACAAAAAAACCTTTAAATATATATATATATATATATATATATATATATATATATATATCCATAAATACATATAGTAAAATCCATAAAATCTCAAGCATGCAATCTAATATATCACATATATTTATCATCAACAACTCATTTTCAACAACAAAATCAACATACAATCAAGATTAATCAACAATCACCTCAATATGCTCAAGTGACCCAAAAATCCCACCATGCAAGAATTTGATCTTCAAACCACCAACACAACTAAAAACTTAGACACAATTCAACACATTCAACAACCAACTTAATCAATGTTTAAGTTCTAGCTTCCTAATTCTAACTTCCCTTACCCCCGAATCCGAAGAAAATTGAGGAAGAAGAAGAGGAAGTGGAAGTTGAACTCCAAGCAACTTTAAGACTCCACATCAGCACCAATCCCCAACTTCAACAACTTTGGATCCCAATGCAGCTTATCAACAATAGCTTATGGGAAGGAATTAGAGGTTTGTTTGGAATAAAAAGGAATAAAGGTTACCTTAAGTTTTAGAGCATCTCTTTCAAGTTCTCTTTCTAAGTTTTATGAGAAAATGAGTTTATGAGGTCCAAGTCAAAAAAAAATTTTACATATTTTTTTTTCTCGATGTCAAATTGGACCTCTATTTAAAGAAACATTCTAAAATACTTAAAACTTTCTCAAGAGTTCCTTGACTTCCAAAGCCTCTCAACAACACACCTCAAAACAACAAAAAAACATAATTATTAATAAAAATATAATAATTAGCAAAAAATTACAATATTACACATAATAATAACAAATAGTGCAAGAGACATTCTAAATTGTATATTATATAAAATAATGAAGAAAATACCGCATATATTACTTTCTAAAACTAAAAAAAATTCAAACACGCCCATAAACTTTTTAAAGATTTCATTTAAGTACTTAAACTACTTCATTATTTTCTTTTTGTCCCTATTTCATGGTGATATTTATAATATATATTTAAAGATTAAGATGGAAAAAATGATTAATATTTTAAGAAAGTTAAACGAAATCCTTAAAACAAAACAAAAACTTATTTGAGATTTTCTTTAATGTGTCTTTAATTTGAGGGGTTAATGTAACAATGAAATACAATTTAACCTTTAAATATATATATATATATATATATATATATATATATATATATATCCATAAATACATATAGTAAAATCCATAAAATCTCAAGCATGCAATCTAATATATCACATATATTTATCATCAACAACTCATTTTCAACAACAAAATCAACATACAATCAAGATTAATCAACAATCACCTCAATATGCTCAAGTGACCCAAAAATCCCACCATGCAAGAATTTGATCTTCAAACCACCAACACAACTAAAAACTTAGACACAATTCAACACATTCAACAACCAACTTAATCAATGTTTAAGTTCTAGCTTCCTAATTCTAACTTCCCTTACCCCCGAATCCGAAGAAAATTGAGGAAGAAGAAGAGGAAGTGGAAGTTGAACTCCAAGCAACTTTAAGACTCCACATCAGCACCAATCCCCAACTTCAA